TTGTTTAGTATCTTTTCCCCTGTCCCCTGTTTGTGTGTCTGATGCAATATAGACCAGAGGATGAAGAAAGAGATCAGTGAGATGCAGGGAAAGGTGAAACTCAGGGATCCAGTAAAGTCAATGGAAACTGAGAGTTGAAAATAGAAGCTTAGGGCAGAAATCTAGTAGTCTGCAAAGAAAGAAGAAAATGAACATCTCCCTTTCTAATATTCCTCACTTTATGAGACTCAGGGTAGGGGTATCCTAGAGTCCTTTCATTCTGCACACACAGAGAAATTTCAATTGGGACCAAATATAACAAATAAAATACCTGTTTGTTATTGATGTATAAAAATATTAAGTTGTCCTATTTCTAGATGGAAATGTGTATGACATAAATTACTTATTGGCATGAGTTTATAAATTCTAATGATAAGGGGGTTCATATGAATAATTTGCATGAATTTGTATTAATATATATCTTGTTTTGTTTTATAAATAGTAATAGCGTATGTGGGTTATATAGAGGAAAGTCCATTCTTATAAAAAGATTGTATCTAAATTGATTGTACAATATCTAGTTAATATCTATCAATACCCTGTACAGACAAGAACACTTTATTAGAAGGTTAAAAAAAAAAAAAATCTATGTTCCAGTCCTGATTCTGTTCATTAGAGACACCATGTTTTTAGAGAAAGTTCCAAAACTTTTATCTGAAAAATTAACCATAATGTCCATAACTCCTTTTTGTAGCAACTTTTGAAGACTGATAGAGATATTTTATGTTGAGGTGCCTTAAACATTTACACATTAATATTCAATTAAATAGAATCTTATGAATAGAAGCTTTGAAATGTTAAATTAATAACAATTTGAAATAAGCCTTTTACAACCCAGCAGTCTAGTCCTTTTATAACGTGAAAGACCTGATGTTTAAGAATTTCAAGGTAACAGAGTTTTCACATACCTTTGTTTCTTATTGGAGTTAGTTCATTGGCATATCTAGTGCAGACAAAACAACTGGGGTTTTCAACATAGTCATCTATATTGAAGCCATACAAGTTAAACATGATCCTTTTGAAAGTTTCTTTGGAATTGAATTATTTCAAACAGATATATGGGCCAAATATCATTGGATGTAGTTGATCACTTGATTTATAAATAATTCAAATATCACTGCTAGTTGTCTTGCATCATAAATGTAAATCTAGACACTTTCATCTCTACCTCATCTGCCTGTTTTCTAATCAGCACTGTTGTTTTACTTTGGAGTTGAATTTCTGGAGGTCCTTTCTAGATGCTGTACAATGGAACATTTGCTTATTTTGAAGTAATTTAACATTCTTTAAATGAGAAAATCTCAGATAATGAAGTAAATTTTAGTTAAATTTTCTTTAACTAAAAAAGCAATTAAATTGCTGTTAAAAGTACCTATAAAAATCCATTTTGATTCTATTTCATTAAAATTTCTTATATATTGTGTTATTCAAGGATTATATATCTTGTAGCATCTTGTTTGTAAACAGGTAGAATTGAAAATATATAGTTCTGTTTCAGTAGTATGTGGGTTCAGGTTATTCTCAGGAAATCTTTCTTTACTTTTTCAAACATTTGTTTAGGTAGCTTTCCAGAAAAAGCTTTCCAGTGGGGAGGATGGAAGGGAAATAATTGGAAAGTTATCTCACAACATCAAATCTAGGGAAAGCAGTTAGGTTTCAGAGAAGCCAAAGCAAGAACAGGAGAGCCTGCAGAAGCCAAGGATTCTCTCTAGATCTCATTTTGGACTTGCACAAGTTTTTAGTTTTACCTCTCTCTTCACTTCTTCTCCTTCTCTAAATAAATTGCTTTATTGATATATAAAGGTCATAAGTGTACAGCAGAAGAAGTTTTCACAAAGTGAATTTATCAATGAAATCATCACCCAGTTTTGATAGCTAGAACAGTATCCATAGCCAAAAGACCTTTTCTGCCTCTCCTACTCATTAACTCTCTCCTGCCAAAAGATGAATTCTTACTATCATATATTAGTTCTACCTGTCCTTTAACTTCATATAACTGGAACTATACAATATGGCTTCCCTGCTGGTTCACACAGTAAAGAATCTGCCTGCAATGTGGGAGACCCAGTTTCAACTCCTGGGTCTGGAAGATACCCTGCAGCAGGGAATGGCAACTCACTCCAGTATGCTTGCCTGGAGAATTCTATGGACAGAGAAGCCTGGCAGGCTATAGTCCAAGGAGTTGCAAAGAGTCAGATACTACTGAGTGACTAACACTTTCACCTTCATTTTCATGTAATATGTAGTCTTTTATGCCTGTCCTCTGTCACCCATTGTAATTTTTATAAGAGTCATCCATAATGATTCATTTGTAGTTTCATTTGTTTTCAATGCTATGTAGAATTCTTTTGTGAAGTATGTCACAATTTATTCACTCTTTTTAATGAATAAGTGGTTGGAAGTGTGATTTGTTTTTCATTCTTGGCTATTTTTTAAAAGTGCTTCTAGGCAACAAAATAAAAAGTAAATAAATGTGACTGCATCAAAATGAAAAAAAACTTCTGCACAGCAAAGGATACCATCAACAAAACAAAAAGGCAACCTACAGAATAGAAGATATGTGTAAACGATATGTCTGATAAGGAGTTAATAATCAAAATATACAAAGTCATACAACTCAATATCAAAATAACAAAGAGCCTGCTTAAAACATAGGCTGAGACATTATTGGCACATGACAAGTGCTCAATAAATATTTGTCCCATGACTGAAAAGATTGCAACAGTTTAATGACACTAAATCCAATAGTTAATCATTTCTACCTATCTAAATTATTATTAGGAAATTAGATATTTCAATATTGGACAGTCTTTGTCTAGCTCAATGTCAAATTGGTCAAATTGCTTATTTTATTGAAGATCATGAGTAGATCTTTCTTTATTGATAGATTCATTTTTTAAACTGTGATTCTCCGGGACCTTTCTGACATCATTAAAACTGGTTACCACACTCATCTTAAATTGCATTCTCTGTTCTCTTCTCTTGGAATACGCTATTGAGAGGGGCATAGTAAAGTTTGCATGTGTCAATGACACTCCCCCAAAATGTCATACTCTCAGTAGCAATGATAAAATGTATGTGTGTTAGTCACTCAATTGTATCCAATTCTTTGCAATTCCACGGACTGCAGCCAGCCAGGCTCCTTTATCCATGGGATTCTCCAGGCCAGAATACTGGGGTGGGCTGCCATTCCCTTCTCCAGGGGATCTTCCCAATCCAGGGATCAAACCCAGGTCTCCTATGGTTCTTGCATTGGCAGGCAGATTCTTTATGGCCTGAACCACCAGGGAAGTCCAATAATAAAATAAATGACAGTTAAAATATTGACAAAATATTGCAGCTGTGAAATTTTCTTGGAATTGACTCCACTTAAAGTTTTGAAACTGTTTTTTTAATATCTAGCAAATGGTGTCCACCACATAAGCTGACCTAATCATTGATATTTTCTTAACTCTTTACAGTGACAGATGGTTACTAGACTTATCACAGTGATCAATTCATAAGGTATATAAATGTCAAATAATTATGTTGTACACCTGAAACTAATACATGTCAACTATATTTTAATTAAAAACAAAAAAGAAAGTACTTCTATGCACATAGTTTAACTTGTCTCTGGTGTACATATTTGTGCTTCTCTGTTGGATGTATACCTGGGAGTAGGAATCCTTGATCTTAGATTATCAGCATGTTCAAGTTTAGTAGATACTACTAGACAAATCCCCAAAGTGGACATACCAACAATGTACGGATGCTCCAATTGCTCCACATCCTCCAATAAAGTAAATGTAAACTCAAACCACTGTAGGATGTTAAGATAATATAAAATTAAATTATAGTAGCACATATCCAGGATGAAATTGAGTATATTAATCAAATTTTTTCAAATCTAGAATTTTCATTTAATTTCTTTTATCTAGATACCTTTTCTCAGCAGAAAGTCTCCCTCTTATCTATTTTTCGAGCATCTTAGTCACAGTTGTATTAAAATCTATGTTGGATAACTCCATTGTCTATATCACCATGACTCTTTCTGTTGTCTGCACTTCTTCATAGTCCCATCACTTGGTATGCCGTATATATTTTGATTGTAGGGTGATGTTTTTAAAAAAGCATTGAGAAGCTTTGAAAATGTGGCCTTTTCCACGACTGAGTTTTATTTAGGTTCTTGCAGGATGTTAGAGCAAAACGAGACCCACCTTATCCAATCTCACTCTGAATTTATTTGGGACTGAATTTTAGTCTTTTTAAGGCTTGATCTATCTTGTTCATTTGTCTCAACAGAAGGTTGGGCTGTTTACTATGGTCTTTTGACTTTGGTAGGCTCCTAGCTGCAAATTTTACCTTCCAGCACAGTAACTATACTTAGGATTTCAGTCTTTTAGCAACTGTTTCCTGTTTAGTTCCCCAGACTCTCAGTCTGTTCGGTTTATGAATAACGAATGCTTCCGGGGAAGGGAGTGCATACTGCCAGGATTCCTTCTCTGTGCTTCCCTTCTCTTCAAAACATTATTCCCTCAAACTTGAGCTGCTTTGCTATCCCTGAATATCCAAACTTTTCTCTCCAGGTCCACCAGACTCCTGAAGGCTTATTCAGCTTCCATACCCCTTATTCAATGCTTTCTGCTTGATCTATTAGTGGGTCAGGCCATGCTGCCTATGAATCAGCAAATGGTTTGAGGCAAAAACAGTATGAAATGTCATGTTTAGTTCAATGAGTTTCTCTTCTCCCAGAGATGTTGACCCATTAGACACTGGCAGTTTTAATAGCTAAATAGCATTTCAAAGAGATTGCTCTTGTATTCTGCTCAGTCTTTGCAATTGTTTTTATTATGAAGATTGGTGTGTTTTAAGTTAATTCACCATAACCAGAAGAAGCAGAATTCTTCTCTTTAATTATCTCTTCTAGTGTATGCTGACTTTATTTATTATTTATTTGTTTATTTTTTGCTTTTTCTCAGTTTAGGCTGAAAATGGTCTCTCTGGAGCCATGACTTGCAAGTTCAATGCTCAGCAGACATTGACAGAACTTTTGTGTGTAAGTTTCAAATTTTCAAGATGAAATATAGTTGGTTGAGTGTTATAACTGATACTGGAGGGAGACAGGGAAAGATATTGTGTGTGGGAGTATCATCTGGCTTATTATCTGAGTCACAGGGAAACAGAAAAAATTCTCTAAGAAGAAGTAATGGGATTTGAAGAAGGGAAAAGTGAGAGCAATAGTACTCAAAAAGAAGCAGAATCAAATGGAGAAGAAACGCAGATAGATATAACAAAAGTATGACTTGAAATCTCAAGTTGAAATCTCCAAGGCTCTATTTCCTGACAGGCTTTATGATTTACTTATTTTTTAAAGTGGGGAGCTTCCATGGGAGTCTTTCCAAACTACAATAGTTAAAAAAAAGAAAAAAGAAAAAAAAAAGATATGATGTACTTTATCTAGCTTTTTGTTACATTTCTGTGACACATTCAAAACATCCTGACTAAAACAAAATGATCAGTCTCTAGGTTGGTAAAATTATCTGACAAAATACAGGTTAAAAAACAGGAAGACAGTTTTTAACTCTCTCATACTTGTATTATCCGGTTCTGTTGATCTTCTTTGGTAGGTCCTTGATATTAGCACACAGCTATGCAGTGTGCTAATTTGTAGTATTTTGATTTTCTTTGCATTTCCTATTGGGGCTTCCCTGATGACTCAGATGGTAAGGAAAGTGCTTGCAATGTGGGAGACCTGGGTTTGATCCCTGGGTGGCTTAACATTCATCTTGAGAAACAAGACTCTACAAGGTGGCCTTCTCATATTTTTTGAAAAGTGCTGGCTCTTTGCCACATCCACGTCATTATGCCGGTGCAGTCTGTGTTAGTTTGTGACACGTGCCTTCTGTGCCTTATTTCCCCAGCATGTATCCTTCATTCATGTAGAAATAGGTGAGGCCTTTCAAAAGCTGCTCAGCTGAAGGAATGCCATTTTATGTGGCTCCATTGGAAACAGAATCCTTCATTGAAAATGGGAGATCTGTATAACCCCATGACTGACCAATGGCTAGGATATTTTCGAAATGATAGAGTATGATGTACTGAGAATAGTTTGTAAAAGCCAGGTAGCGTTTATCTGGTTCTCTTCCTCACTTGCTCTGCCATCACATGAGACTCCTTAAGAATCCCTGTGAAGAAGGATAGGTGTTCTTCTACTAATAACCAACAAGAGGGGCTTCTCTGGTGGTTCGGTGGTGAAGAATCGTTCGGCCAGTGCTGGAAACCTGGATTTGACCCCTGATCCAGGAGGATCCCACCTGCCGCAGAACAACTAAGCCTGTGTACCACGACTATGGAGCCTGTGCTCTAAAGCCAGAGAGCTGCGACTACCCAGCCCACGTGCCACAACCACTGAAGCCCATGTGACCGAGGGCCTGTGCCCCGCAAGAAGAGAAGCCACAAAAAACAGACGCCTGCACACCACCACTAGAGAGTGGCCTCCGCTTGCTGAATGTAGGGAAAAGCCCACACAGCTACGGAGACCCAGCACAGCCAAAAATAAATGAATACAATTTATTTTAAAAAGTAATAATCGATGAGAAACTGAGAGCTTTGCTGCCAGTAGCTCCACTAGAGGGTCTTCGAGGCCCAGTCAAGCCTTAGAAGTAAAGTCAATACAACCACAGACAGCCACAACACCATTAGAGTTCTCAAACCATAATCACCCAGGGAAGTCACCTCAAATTTCTGATCAGCAGACACTGATATAACAAATGCTTATTGTTAAGTCACTCTCTTGGGGTTTGATTTGTTATCTAGCAATAGGTTACTAACATGGTTCCAGGAAGACCAGGGCCAGTGCAGTTGAAATACTGTGAGTGAAACATAGATGATAGACTAATTTAGAGGGAGGTTTGGAAGTAGCTGATACATGGAACTGCAGACTATGATAAGGAAACTTCAGCTGAATGTCATCAGAGTTTTAAGTGTAGCATTAACACACTGAGGAAAAAGAGAAATAAACCAAATTTAATTGTTCATTCATTTAGCAAATATTTGTTAAATGCACATTTATGGCAGGTATTGAGCTAGGTACCTGTGATACAATGATGAACAAGATATGATATATAAAATGCCTCCTTTATAGAATTTTCATTTCACTGTTCATGGCAATAGCAAACTAAAAGCAAAATGGATACATTTAGATTGGTACAGATTGTGAAGTGTGAGTGGTAATAGAAGGATTAATAGTGTTAGTAATAGTGATAGTGTTGCTGGAAGGGGGACCCCTTCTAGGGCCTGAAGGTGGGCTCTTGTCTAGCACTCAGAAATGAATTGTCTGAGGAGACACATGTGCTGACAACACAAGAGATTTTATTGGGAAGGGGCACCTGGGCAGAGATCAGTATGGTAAGGGAACCCAGGAGGGCTGCTCTGCCACGTGGCTCATAGTCTTGGGTTTTGTGGTGTTGGGATTAGTTTCTGCGTTGTCTTTAGCCAAGCATTCTGACTCAGAGTTCTTCCAGGTGGTGCACGCTTTGTTCAGCCAAGATGGATGCCAGAGAGAAGGATTCTGGGAAGTGGTTGGACAAATGGTGTCACTTTTTGACCTTTCCTGAACTCTCCCAGTTGGTGGTGGCTTATTAGTTCCATGTTCCTTACCAGGACCTCCTGTCCTAAAACCTCATGCAAATGGTTACTATGGTGCCTGGCCAGGGTGGGTGGTTTCAGTCTGCATGCTTCGCCTAATAATAGGACAGGGTTGAAAGAAAGAAACTGCCCTGGGGTCAGGGAAGACAGCATGAAGGTGATAAAGTCCATACCTTTAGGAAAGTACGCAGTAGGCACGGAAAAGTGATGATAATCATCTTCAGACACATTGAAAATGTCTTCAGGTGGGAAAGGATTTGATAGAACAGAAAAGAATCTAGTACTGTCAGAGCAGTTCAGGCCGAGATGGGTAAAAATAAGCTTGCAAAAAGAGGCAGGAGCTTCCCTGGTGTCTCAGACGGTAAAGAATCCGCCTGCAATGCGGGAAACCAGTGTTCTATTCCTCAGTTGGAAAGATCCCCTGGAGGAGGGCATGGCAACCCACTCCAGTATTCTTGCCTGGAGAATCCCATGGGCAGAGGAACCTGGTGAGTTCTATACAGTCCATGTGGTCGCAAAGAGTCAGGCACGACTAAGCATGTACACACATTGGATCATGTAAAGTCTCAGAGCCGTAGAATGGCATTTGGACAAAACAATATTCTAAATGCAGGAAATAACCACTGGAAGTTTCTGAACAGATGAGCATTAAGATCTGATTTATATTTTAAGATTTATTTGATGCTATAGTTTTTTAAATATTTTATAGAAAATATAGATAATTTATTTATAAGATACATAAAGGGTTCAAATTTGTATTTTGAGAGGTGACAGGAAAAAAGAAAAAAACACCAGATTCTTTAGTGACTTTTGCAACGCATCTGGCTAGAGAAAATCTGTCCTGAATTAGCCCAGTGGCAGTCTGTGTGAAGAGAAGTAGATGGATCTGGATGCAGGATGTAGTTTGGACCTAGCTGTTGGAATTGCTGCTTGATTAGGATGGGACAATGGGTTAGTGAATGCCACAGGCTCTTTGTCTTTACAATCTAATGACATGATTGTTTTCCTGTCTAACGAATTACATGCAAGTGTTTTAAACACTTTAAAAACTGAAAGCAAATGTAAATTATGTTTTCAATTGCTGAAAATTATAGTATCTCTTGAAATCACTAGCAAAATCAGAAACTACTCAATTAGTAGGCAGTGCTAGTTCTTTGACCTTGCCTAAGGTATATGAGGGAGAAGGAAATAGCAACCCACTCCAGTGTTCTTGCCTGGAGAATGCCAGGGATGGGGGAGCCTGGTGGGCTGACGTCTATGGGGTCGCACAGAGTTGAACACGACTGAAGCGACTTAGCAGCAGCAGCAAGGTATATGAGAAAACAAGGAGAAAGTATATATGATAATGTGCAATAATAAATTCTGCAGGTAGAAAATATCAGAAAGGTCTGATGGGGCAAATGTAATGAGAATGATTTTCTGATGTGGACCTCTGTTTATTTAGAAATTAGATGTTAAACTCCTTCTCTGTATGCACATGTGCATCTATTTATTGTGTATGTAGATACTTTATATGCTTTATAGGTGCTTTTATTTTTACTATGATCAGAAAATCTCATTGCTTTCCTGTCCACCTCTCATACTATTTTAATGTTGTATTTTATATTATCCTCAGTATGTTATTTACGCTTCAACTCCTTCCTCCCATTATTTTAAGGGGAAAAAAAAGAGTATGGGTAGTTTTTATTATATTTCTTAATCCATAATAATATTTCCTCCAAGAATAATATCTATATTGTCAATCAAATTACCTAGAGACTGCTGATAAATATTTGGAATATTAGATATCATGCTTCTTTCTAGGCATTTGTTTAAGATCAACTATTCTTTTTTGACAGTTGTTTGAGTTGATTTCCATGACTCTGCCATGTGTTTGCACTTGAAATTTCTTATCTTTTTAATGAAAGGCATTGCATATTAAGCCATATTGCATTTAAGGAGGCATGTGATAGTTGCTCAGTCATGCCTGACTCTTTGCAACCCCATGGACTGTAGCCTGCCAGGCTCCTCTGTCCATGGAATTCTCCAGGCAAGATTACTGGAGTGGGTTGCCATTTCCTTCTCCAGAGGATCTTCCCAACCCAGGGACCCTGCATTGCAGGAGAGTCTTTACCATCTGAGCTACCAGGGCAGCCTACTATTAAGAGACATTTCTAAGTATAAGGAAGCATGGAGACTGCAAAGGTGTGTGCCCAGTTAAAAGTCAGTTGCCTTGTGATAAGACTTTTCTCCCAAGGCCATTCTTTATAGATTTTGTAAGGCAAACATGAGGGAGAATCTCTACTTAGAAATCTGAAAGCAACCTGAAACTTGTAGTGTGACATCACAGCCACCCTATCCTCATTTCCAATAAAAATTCATTCTGTATGTTTTTTCCCCTAAAGTGGTATTACTTTCACTGATTACATG